GTCAGTCATCCCACATACGCTCGCTCCATGAAACGTATCACCCATTATTCCAATCACTGTTGCTGTCGCATCCACTCGTATGTCGCATCCACTCGTAGTCCACGTCCACTGATGTCGACCGAGGTAGCTCTCTTGCTACTGTGTAATAGTGACATGTACCCAGCTAATGTCTCTGCTTCGTTCAGGGAAATCAGAATAGGAAGTCTGCTGTACCACCCGCTCTTTTCTTTTTACTTTTAAAAGCGATTATTTGTAACATGGAAATTTGTTCCTTGGCTCACCATCTGAGTTCTTAAAGCTATTATTCATTTTCTGCTGACCCCGGTTATTTCTTTTATTAGTATTGTTTTCTTTGCCTTCGCTTTCTTGTTATTGGGCAACTTGCCAGCTAGAATCTGCGAAGTAAAATAAACAACAACAACAACAACAACAACCAGGCGTGCGCTGTTATGGATTGGACTTGATAACTATGTGAATAATCGTGTCTAAATAATGTACTCTCAAAAGTCACAATTCACAGTTGGAGGTGGAATCTTGGTTGACAGTGGGTACCCGTTACGGCACTATGATTATCATTATTTCCTCAGTCAAGAATCTATTTACAAGGCCTTCAATCCGAGTAGTATATAAAGGGAGCGTTCTGGCGCAAAGCCCTCCCTATACATACTACTAACGCGCAACATACGAACAGTCAAGGACGATGCAGTCCTGATTTAAAAATTGGGAACAATCGGAGTACGTGGCGTAGCCACGGACTGCTCGTAGTTCGCGGAACTCAGGTGAAGTGAAACGATGACAACTGAAAAGGCTACAATGGAGCTTCAAAGTTTTGCAAAAGTAAAAGATCTCTTTCTTTCACACACTGTATCTCTGTCTGCCGTGGCCGGATGACTCGTGTACATCCATTGTGCAATACAGTGTTAGGCATAACTCTTCTCTCGTTGCCTTTTCAATGAAAACAACGGTACAATGAAGTACACTGTCGCGGCACTGACGCTGTGCAACCGTGTAACAACAAAGCTAATTTGCGACTGCTAGAGAACTTGACATTAGGTCCCAGCCACAGCTATATACCATTTTAACAACAGAGCTAATTTACAAGTGTGTTCCGATTGTAGAAAAGGAACACAAACGGAAATTCACACATGCACACACATATACACACTGGCCGAAAGCACAATCCCAGTACGGCCACACACAAACACACACACGCGTAAACACATACACACAAGCACACATGCACTTACTATACAAGCAAAAATGTTCCTCAATGCCGGCGGCATCTGTGTGAAGACGACGTGATCAATTTTCATTCTTCCTGACCTCCAGGTAAAAAAAGAAACAAGATGGAAAATTGCCCTCTGGTTAAGATTAATTAAATTTTAAGCAAGAAAGGTTTTGCTGGGGAAGGCTGTCAGTTCACTGGACCACTAGGGCACGGGGTAAAGTCAGTGGACTTGCAGAATAGTTACGAGCTACCCGCATGTCTTACCTACTCCGCTCCATCGCAGTGATCAGGCAACCACTTTCTTGCATATAAAGGCGAATGCTTTTATCACCAGCAATAAGGTGTAGTAAGCGTCTTTGCGAACAACAGAGAAGACAATGCTTAGGCTGATCGCTGTGTACGTACTGGTAATGTCCAGTATTGGTGGACATGTACAATGCATTACTAAGTATACCAGCAGAAGTATTGCTCCCTCGGGGTTGCAGAAGTCGGTTGATTTGACAAAGCGCCTTTGCGGCGTTTCACAGCTATCATCGGCCCGCAATGTTGCAAACAATACTTGCTTCGTTACGGAGATGGGCGAAAGCATTATGGTTGTCTTTGACGCAGTAATGCGCAAGAAGATAAAGAGCTGTAGGCACATTGTTGACCGAGGGAGGCATTGGAAGGAGAATGTCGGTTGTGCACTACTAACCTTCACCATATTTCGAGTTCAGGCATTAAAGGAACGGCTTCTAAGTCGTCCAGAGCTGCACAACATATTCGATATGCTGAAATCAAGTCAAAATTTAAATGCCACGGTCCACCATTCCCGAAACATCATAGAAAGGTGCAACCTGAAGCAAGTGTCCTCTCAGGATTACTGCAGGAACTCCAGTAGCACCGAGGCTTGCAAGTTGTTAGTTGTATCTAAGACGCTCTTGTTCTTCGTGACACATCCTCAGAGACCAAATAAAACCTCAATGGACGTAAGCCAGACTGACTTTGGATGCTGGGAGCCGGAACTGGAAAGAGCGCGTCTTCTCCTTGCAGAACGAGGGAGATGGGATGTAGATGACAAATGTATTGATTCTCTACCGGATATCAGCTCGAAGCTATTCAAGTTGCTCATTCCCGTCATGTTCGAAAAAGCACGGACATTTCTGTTCGGTATAGTAGACAGACGCAAGGACAAGCATCGCTACCTGTCGTCATATTTACACACTAAACTTCTAGCGCTAATGGGACATCCAGCTGCTTTACAACGCCACGTATACACACAGCAATGGCCAGTCGTCCGCCTTCTCTCCCTGTGAGTGGGGTGTTCCTCAGGGTAGTGTGCTAGGTCCTCTTTTGTTATCCAACTACACAATGGAAATAGAACAGATCACAACTCCGGCCCACTCACAACTTTTTGCTGATTTTAACCTGCTAGACGCCATCAGTCAACCTGTCGAATTCATGAACTTAACGCTCTCCCGTTCTGTCTCCAACCTGGACAATTTTCTGGAGGAAAGATGTTTAAATCTCTCCAAAACCCACGTCCCGGCCCTACATGCGTCCCGCAGGCAGCCCTTGTCACTTAACATAGAATGCAATGGTAATCCCCTAGCTCAGACCACAACTCCTCGATATCTAGGTCTAGATCTCGATTCCCAGCTTCAGTGGGAGACTCAAGTTGCGTGTATCATACGGAACACTTCCCAGGAACTGACGGCGCTTCGAGCCATTCGCTTCCTCCAAAATTTTCGAAGCGAGACTGTCGCTTCGGCGGATTCGCTTCAGCGGAAAACACGACGGTCTGCTGTATATGGACTTGCTACGAGAAATTTGTATGCGTATGATGTCCATGCAACAAAAATGCGTGCAAGATAGTCATTGACCTTGTCTATTCTCCGTACCGTATGCACCACAGTCTCATTTTCCGCCAAAGTAGGAGTTGTGCCCTGTTTGTATGTGTGACCATACACACGTGGTTTCGCTGGAGCGACACCAGGCTCGCTGCCGCCGAGCCTCGTCGCCGAAGCGAATCCTAGTGCATGTGTGACCGCGCCCTAAGCAGAATGAGAACAAACTTACGTGTACATGCGCATGACTGCGCAAGAACGGCGAGGACAAGTGTCTAGAACCATTGTGCATGTTCTCGGTTCCGGCTGGTGCTAGCTAATGGCGCCACTGGCAGGGTGAAGGGAGGTAGTCAAGGTTGTCACAGGAAGCAGCTGCATTAGGCAATGGATGTTGAACACGTTTATGTCATTCTTTCGATGCTTCTTTTGCCTAGGTCATCAGAGACTCCACAGTGTGGTGGGTACGCGTTTTTGAGCTCCAGTTCTTGAAACCTTTTGGACAGCCCAGCCGGCATTAGGCCGGACTGGAGGTAAGTAGGTATCGTTGTAGCAGTAGTAGTAGTGGCAGCAGTTGCAGTAGTGTAGTTAGCTAGCTAGGTTGTGCACAACGAGAATCTTTGCGCCATGGGTGAGCTCTCAAGCGCGGAGCAGGTGAAGCTACTTTGTAGCATTCCCGGAATACATCACAACGTGGTCAGCCTTGTAGATACTTTGAATGCTTTCGTCCGTGAGGCCAGAAACAACGAAGTACGCCTCCAGCGGAGAGTAGACGAGCTCGCCGGCCTGGTCTTGGATTTAAGGCAAGAAATGAAGTCATTGAAGGAGTCCGCCATTATGGCAGTCAAGCAACCATTTTCAAAAAGCGAGCTGGGCAAGGAGATCAAGAGTGCAGGTAGTAGTAGTACTACGAGTAAGAGTACCCGTACCAGTAGTCCTGGACAGTCAAAGCCACGCGCAAGTGACAGTGCAAAACTGCCAAACCAGCAGGTAAAACACGTGGGAACCCACACTGAACCCCGTACCCGTAGCGCCGCCACACCCTGGCACGCAACCAAGACAGTGCCCTCTGGGGACACAGAAATGGAGTATTCTGAGTCTGATGCAGGGGATACTGGACTCCTGCCTGTCAGTGTCAAGCCCGTTTTCGGTGCTACTGCTGCCAACGCTGGGCCTAACCAGGACACCCTACCGGCCGCTGCAGGTACTGTTGAACCTGAAACTGGGAACACAGAGCGAGAGGAAGTGGATGCCATAAATGACGACAGCTGGCAGCTGGTCGCTGCAGCCCCACCAAGACGCCGGAGAGCAGTAGTGTTTGTTGGCAACCTTAGCAGCACCTGCACAATGGAGGGTCTCACGGAGTTTGTGCACCGCCGGTCTGTAGCAGCCACAGGGAACATCATAGATGTCCACTCATGCAATGTACACACGGCAGCTAGCGGCAAAGTATCCGCCAGGGTCACCATCGATGCAGCTTGCCTGGCCACTGTGACCTCTGCCAACTTCTGGCCTCGGCCTCTCTACTGCAGGACATGGAAATTCAATCCACCCAAGAAGAGCAGCGGCAACGACAAGGCCCACAGCAGCAGTGATGGTGGCAGTGGCGACGGCAACGACAATGCCCACAGCAGCAGTGACGGTGGCAGTGGCGACGACAGCAGCGGAAACGACTGTGGCAGTGGCGGCAGCAGCAGCAGTGACGGTGGCAGTGGCGATGGCAACGACAATGCCCACAGCAGCAGAGACGATGGCAGTGGCGACGACAGCAGCAGAAACGACTGTGGCAGGAGCGGCAGCAGCAGCCGCCGCAATAGCAGCAGCGACAGTTCTCCCAAACCCGGCGCTGAGTTAACTCGGACCCCTGGGCAGAAGTCACGACCCCACCAGCGTGGTTCTCCTGCTGAAGACCAAGCTGCAAAGCGCGTGGCTCCAGTCAGCAAACAGTGATGCCTTCTGCCAGCCATATACCCCTGCTAAACCCCAATGCTACTCCCTTCCAGCCTCGAAGGTCCCGGGGCTCCCAAAGAACAACCAACTGCAACAACCTCAAACTGTTCGTCACGAGCCTCAACATCGGGTTTTTGAATATCTGCAGCCTGCGCTACAAGCTGCATGCACTGGACAGCCTTGCCCACCAGCACAACTGGGACGTCGTTGGCGTTGCTGAGACCTGGCTGGATAGTACAATCTCGGATGGCGAAATTTGTATTCCCGGCTACAGTGTTGTTCGCTGTGACCGGCCCGATCGCCAGGGTGGGGGCACATGCCTCTATTACAAGACATCACTCCCAGTTACCTATCGTTCTGATCTGCACAATAGCCACCTGGAGGCTTCCTGGATAGCTATTGGCGGAGGGCAACACCAGCACCTCGTTGGCTGCCTCTATCGCCCACCAAATGCAACTGCTGATTTCTGGGGCCACCTGGACACAGTCCTCCACAATGCTGCCACGATCACGCCATCAATGACACTGGTGGGTGACTTTAATATCAATCTGGCTCAATGCATGAGCAGTCGTCCTCACCAGCGCTTCTGGGACCTTATCGGATCGTATGGGCTCCGCAACTATGTTCAGTCTGCCACACGAGTCACACCCCGATGTCCGGATGGAACGCTGCTTGATTTAGTGCTCTCCACCGTGGGTACTATAAGTCATTGTGAAGTTGTACCCTGCACGATCAGCGATCACTTCCTTGTGCATGCAAGTCTGTCTCTACCCTCCTCGCAACACCAACTGCAGCGGAAATCAGTGCGCCCCACCCGCAAGATCCGTGCCATTAACGTTGCAACATTTCGTGAAGATATTGCCTCGTGCAGCCTCCACTCCTTTCCCCCTGCTGCAACTGTAGACGAGATGTGGAATGGCTGGCATGCCAAGTTTATGTCGGTTCTCGAAAGTCACGCTCCCCTGTGTGAAGTCAGAATCTCCACCAGGAGGACTCCCCCGCCATGGTCCGACCGTGATCTATTCCAACTGAACATGCGCAAGAATATACTTCACCGAAAGTGGCTACGAGATAAGACTAACGTGCATCTACATGAGGAGTACAAGCGAGCCCGTGCAGAAGCCTCAAATGCTTACCGGCGAAAACGCAATCAGCATTTCCAACAGCAGTGTCGTGATCACTCCTCCAACCTGCGGAAGATGTGGTCCGTGATCAACTCTGTCACTAGCCGTTCTCGTCAACATCATCAGCCAACGTGCGACATCACAGAAGTCTCGGATGCCTTCCACAGCATTGTACATGATCCGTCCCGTCCGGCGCAGCTCCAGATTCCCATTGGTCCACAGCCGCAAGGCTCAATGCTGACCTTCCAGTCAACCACCCCAGATGAGGTCAAGCACCTCCTGGAACGGATAAATCCTTGCAAAGCCACAGGCAGTGATGGGATTCCTGGGTGTCTGCTACGTGCTTGCGCTGACCTGTTGGCTCCATCGCTTTCAGTGCTCTTCAGCTCATCGCTGAGGCATGGTGAAGTCCCTCTGGCTTTCAAACATGCTGTAATAAGCCCTCTCTTCAAAGCTGGCGATCCATCGGTAGCTGCAAATTATCGTCCTGTGTCGCTCCTGCCGATCGTATCCAAACTACTCGAGAAGATAGTCCAGAAGCAACTTGTTGCACATCTGGAGCGATCATGTGCCATACCACCGACTCAGTTTGCCTTCCGCCGTGAGCACTCCACAGAGGACGCCCTAGTTGTAGCAACAGATGCCATCTTAAAGGCCCGGGACGATAAGTTGACCACAGGCGTCTGCCTAATCGACATGTCAAAAGCCTTTGACAAGGTCAATCACAGCCAACTGGTCCGGGACCTATTCGATCTCGGCCTGGACAATGCCTCCCTTCGCTGGTTCTGCAGCTACTTAAGCGATCGAACCCAGCAAGTGCGCATTGGCCCCACCTACAGTGTTGCTGCTAAGTGCTCATCTGGTGTACCTCAGGGCTCGGTCCTAGGACCGATCCTGTTTAGCATGTACACCCGTGATGTCCCTGCCATAGCCCATCCTGCTCCATCTCTGCAATTTGCCGATGACATTGCAGTGCACTGCCACAGAAAATCAGTGCTAGCCACATCAGCCTGCCTGTCAGGGGCCGTCACCAACGTCGCTGACTGGCTCAAGCATCGACATCTGCTACTAAATGACGAGAAGAGCCAGGTCCTGTCAATTGTACCACAACGCAATGCGGGTCAGCATGTCGCTGTCCGCTGCAACCAGACAGAGCTTCCCCTGAGCCCAACAGCAAGGTACCTCGGCGTGACCCTTGACGCCGCTGTGAAGTGGGACCCCCATGTTGACGCGATGGCGAAGAAAGTTGTGCAGAAGATTGGAGCATTGTGGCGGTCCCGCAGATGTCTGAGCCTCAGTAGTCGCATCCAGTATGTGAGGTCAGTCATCATGCCTGACCTCCTATATGGGTCTAACGCCTTCTCTTCCTCCCTCAAGGTTTCGCAGCTTGATCGCCTTCAGGTCCTGCAGAACCGAGCGGCGAGAGCGGTATACGGTTTGCCGCCTCACACCTCGGCTCAGCCTCTGCTCGAACGGATGTCCTTGTACAGAGTTCGGGAGTGCTACGCCCAGAAGCGGCTCGTCCTGGTGTGGCGCTGTGTCAATGGGAAAGCCAGCAGTGTCCTCCAGGACCTATTCTCACCATCAGCTGGCAGCACCACCCGGCACCAGGTTTCCAGGGGCCTCACTGTCCCCTCGGCACAGTCAGAAGCCGGCAGATCTCGCCTGGCCTTTCAGGCAGCCTTGGCCTGGAACGCTCTCCCAAGGAGTGTAAGGGAGATCAAGGCTGCCCAGCAATTTAAGCTTGCCTCCATCCCCTACACCTTGCAATGAATGCTCTGTCTGACTTTTCCCGTCCACACACCACGTCATTTACTCTTCTCTGCGTGCTTGTGCGCTCAAGTTATGAACTCTTTGTGTTCCCTCTGTTGACGCTTCAAAATCGCTCTATTGACACTGCAAAATCGCTCTGTTGACGCTACAAAATTGCATATCATCTCCCTCCCTCCCTGCCCCCCCCTCTCTCTCTCTCTCTCTCTCTCTCTCTCTCTCTCGCTCTCTCTCTCCCCGTAGCTCTCTCCCTTTTGAAATTCGCTTCCATAGAATTGGGCACCATTGCCCGTTTGGCCTTGCGAAGCAAAATAAAAATCAACAACAACAACAACAACAACAACAACAACGATACATGGGCGCGGGGTCAACGCGCTGGAGTTTCGGGAGCCTTCCCTGCCACTTCCTCACTTTGCTCGCTCTCAGTAGTCGTAGCCAAAATACAGGCATCCTAATAATACTTTTAACTAGAAGGTTGGTTGCTCCCACACTGGAACATGCACTTTCCCACCGACATGACTTGACGGACTCACGACTTCCATCACGAACACAAGAGAAGTCGTTTAAACCTTCCCTTCGGCAACCCTGCAAGAAAGCATCGCTCCTTGCTCAATACATAGTGCTTCGGAGAGTCCTCATGAGTTGAGCATGAGTATGTTCAGAAAGTTGGCTCTTGAGGCCCACCACTTGCATGGTGCTCCCCAGGCCAAATCATCACCAGGCATAAAACCTTACAGAAACACGGAGTTTTCAGCGCGACAAACACCAGAACACTAGATAGCAGCTTGATTCACTGTCGCTCATGGATAGAACAAACGCTGAGGATCCGTAGTCTTTCGCACCACTGTCGGTTCCTGACCGACTACGAGAGAGTACATGAAATTACAAGCCTGCACGGATTAAGAACAGTACGAAGTAGTGGAAGCAGCCCCGACTACGTAGTAGGAACTTGATTGCTCCCACGATGGACCAGCTGTTCAACAGCCGCGCATGGGTGATGATGATGATGTGGCATGTCACACCTCTATTGATGAATTTCGTAAATGCTTGCTAATGAAAGACATCCAAACACACTCGCATACAGAACATGCAGTGTGGGTCATAGTAATAATTATATCGCTTATAGTGATAAAATACTCGAAACCAAACACCAACGCCATCGGCGATACTGACTGGGCGGAGATGCAGCTTGCGTCATGTTCCCTGGTGCGCAGTTGTATAGCAGACTTTAGGAAGGATACAGTTGTAGTGTCCGATTCTCACTGATCATGTTGCCAACGACCCACAAGGTGTACATCTTATTAGTAGGAAGTGGTGGGTTATTCAGTTGCGAAAAAGGTCAACTTTTTGATGGTTAAATCATTTCGACAATGGGTTCAGGTTTTGCCATCCCACGACACGACAATGAAGAGGTTCGATACGGCTTCCTATTTTTACTTCTCCTGTCGAGCATGGCTGAAAATGTGACAACCAACAGCAACATTCTCAGCACCAAACTTATAGTCTCTGCAGAAAATTGATTAGACCCAGTGTGTGAGTAGCGTTCCAAAGGAATCATCAGCTCGCACTTGTGCAAATGAACCGTGCTCGATTATAAACATGGGGAGGATTTCTGGTTCTTCTCTTCGCTGTAATATGCAGGAAGCTGGTCGACTGTGTGAATACTGTTTAACTGGAAAGTTTAACGACCAAAAAGTTGAACATTTCTGAAATTTTGGCATGATTACGTGCAGAAAGTTTAACGATGGCTACCTGACAACCCAGATGTATCCGCATATTTACCCATACATCTAGTGATAAGTTTTTTTTCAAATAACGAAAAATAATTGGTCGATAAAACTTTAGCTTTTGTGACTCGTCAGACATTCCAGTTCTATAGTACTGTTGGGCCGAGACGAACTTGGAACGAGAGCCTCTGGTGTGCTCTACTTGCCCCTAGCATTCTCCGAGTGCAATGCTTTGAAAATGTATGTTAGCCCATTGTATGCAGAAATCAAGTCAATGTGTAAATGCTTCTGTTCACCATTCGCACTTGCATTCTTTTTAAGCTGTAATGTGCAGGAAGCTGGCCGACTGTGTGAATATATTTGAGCCGAGACGAACTTGGAAAGAGAACCTCTGGTGTTGTCGACTTGGCCCTATCATTCTCCTTCTTGGAAAATGAATATCTTAGCCCATCGTGTGACGAAATCAATATGTAAATGCTCTTGTTCACCATATCGCACCATTATTGAAAAGTGCGACCTGAAGCGAGTGTATTCTTAGCTCTACTGCGGGAATTACAGTAGTCCCATTTACTGCAGGATGTTAGCTACGTATTAGGTTCTCTTGGTCTTAGTCGCGCATGGTTTTAGATCACGCCAAACATCGCTCGACTTTGGACAGACTAGCTTGGGTTGTTGGGAATCAGTGAGGGAAGGAGCACGTCAACTTCCAGCAAAGCCGGGTAATTGGGATATCGATGACAGGCGTGTTGATACGCTGAAGGTCATTGGCTGAAAGCTGTACTTGCAACTCATTCCTACACTTGCCCGTGGTTGAGTGGTTGGATAATGTCAACAGTAGGAACAGAATTCTTCTTTCGTATCTACTGGCTCAAGTACTGACCTCCAGCTCACAACAAGATGCTTTCAAACGTTATATCTGCTTTAATTTAAGCACTCGAAGTCCCGCAATTTCAAGTTCATCGTTCGTCACAAAAGCGAGCTGGCAAGCTCAAAACAAGTTTTAGCATCATGCCACGGGGTTCGCGGGCAAAGTGTGAAATCACCTGGGACAGCTCCAGGGCGGTAAACCACTACCGTTGGTATTTGCTATCAACTTGCTCAACGTGACCTTCGTTCGTCTGCGCGTCGCTCTTGCTCCGTCAAACACATCACTGTTTCCGACAGTGGTTGTAAGCTCCCGTCAGCCACTTGTCAGGAGTGTTATTCGCTCGCATCCAAATTCATTATAAAAATACCGTACGCACGATGCAGAGTTCAATTTGTGCGATATCATAATTGTTTGTGATGCACCACATCGAGCAGAACGCGATCCAAACACAAGCTTACCGACGGTTAGGCTGCCGACCTGACTGGACAAAATTAATGATCCCTGGCTTCACCAGACGCCAGAAGTCGGAAACCACGTCCTTTGCCGTGACGTCCATCTCCAAAAGAAACTCCATCTTCGTCGTGAAAAGGCTTGAAATACTCTATATTCAGCGGAGATTCGCGGTCTCACGCTTTTTCAGATCGAATAATTTTGTTGTTGTAGCAGTTGCAGGGCAGATCCCAAGAAATTCGAAATTTCAATGGTGGAAGGGTGTACTACCAACAGGATTTCAAAAGGTATGGTTCGCGGCGCGATCGTTCTACCTACATCATTCAAACTTTGCCGAATGGTTCTAACCTACATGGAACCACAGGGTTTGATGACATAGCTGACGCAAAAAGTCACACACACACAGCACATCCGTGTGCACATAATTATACTAAATTAGTGGACGTCGTCATTATCTTCCCGCTGGTCTCAAATGTACGATGACATGCTATTTCGCCTGACGTTTTATCCCTGGTGGTGGTTAGGTCTGGAGAGCACTGTATAGGTAATGCTCTTCAGTTAAAATCTTCATCAGGCTACTCAAACAAAAACGATGAGGGGTAAATTCCACGAACACTGTATGTTGAGCAGGGAGTGGCGCTTTCTTGCAGGTGTGCCGAATGGAAGGTTCGATGAACTTCTCGTGTGCCCCGGATGGCTGTCGTGAGTCAAGTGAAATTTCAAGGTCGCATCAAAGGCGAGAGCTATTACGCACTGAGCAACACACAATTCACAGAGTATCGCCGAAGTCGCACCAGCCACTTCTTGTACACACAAAAATCAGTGAAAGTACACACATTCAAAAAGCTATCATGCATTGTCCGTGTCCCTCGCTTCATACGTTTTCCAACTCTACACAGGCA